CACAATTATAACATAAAAGCTCACATTTTCAAACAGCCCACAATATATATATAGCAATATTGAACTGTATTTATTGCAAAGAAAAGTGCATTGATTGACTAAATTACACTCACCAGTGACAGTAATGCTGAATCTTCTAATACTGATGATGCTGTGGTGAGGGTGGATGTGGCTGTTGTTCTGTAGTTCATAAACTCCAGCATCTGTGGTTCTGGTGTTTGTGATGGTCAGAGATCCAGTCCGATTGTCCAGCTTCAGTCTGTCTCTGATTCTCTCTTTACACTGATCATCTGTACAGATCTTACTCTGATCTCCAGTGATTTCAGCGATGGTATTGTCATTAAACTGCCACTTTATCACATCATTTGGGTTTTTTATTACATGAGTGTCTAAAGTGACAGAGTTTCCCTCCTTCACTGATTTTGTCTTCATTTTATCAGTCTTTGCACCAGACACACCTGAAACACAAAGCAACAGCTGCTGGAGGATCTTTTGGGGAAAAACAAAACAACTAAACTATAATAAAAGTAGACATGTGCCTGAGTAGCAGTGCACACTTCGGAACAAATTTGGGGTTTCTGAAATTTACAGTCTCTGATGCCCATACACATTTAGGGCAGAAAAATTATGAAGAAGAAAAAGAATATCAAAACAAACACAAATAGGGTTTTAGCACTTTGGGTGCTTGGACCCCTAAAAAAAACAACAATGAAAAAAACACATGAATTATGTGATTTAAGCCAATGTAACATGCTTTAAAATGTTACATGACTCACCATGAACAGCAACACTGAACATCTTTTGAATCATTCTTCTGCTGATGGTTTGTAGTTGATAAACTCCAGCATCTGTAGTTCTGATGTTCATGATGGTCAGAGATCCAGTCTGATGATCCAGCTTCAGTCGGTCTCTGAATCTCTCTTTACACTGATCATCTCTACAGATCTTACTCTGATTTCCAGTGATTTGAGCAATGCGAGTGTCATTAAAATACCATGTTACTCTGTGTTGTTGGTTTGTTTTAACATCAGTGTGTAGAGTGACTGAATCTCCCTCCATCACTGACACTTCATTTTTATCATCATCATCACCTGAAAAAGAAATGAAGAAATAATCATAAATCACTTGCAGAGGAGTGGGATACGAATATAAAAAGGAAAGTGCTCTGATTTTAGGTAGAGATAGGTAAAGAAATCTGTCTGGATTCATGGTGAGCGTGATTTCACCAAGTACAACATGTTCCTGGATCAACATACTTGTTGATCCTGGAACAAGATTCCAATCAACCAATCAGAATTTAGATATAACTTTTCAGGAAATGTCTGTTTTAGGTTTACAATCAGGGTTAGGTGCTTCTACACCCTTGTTAATCAGCTATCATTTCCCACTGATTTTAGGAATAAATTATGGGTACGATCTTGGAAGTAAAGTAGTTTATAAAGTCATTACTGCTGTGCTGTTGGGAAATGTCAACGGTAGCTACAGTACGGTAAGTTTATTTACGGTGTTGAAAAGTGCTTTTGGCCTGTTACTGGTTTTATTAAACATGGCAGAGACGAAACTAGAACGCGCTAGGTGTAAAGCAGATTTGTTATTTTTGAGATGTTCAAGAAAGGCTTGGTGATGAACAGTGAGGCCAGTTTTCCTATAGAGCCGTTCCTATAGAGCCGTCAAACTGCAAGCCGTCGATCAGAGCTCTTAAGGTTATACAAAGTTCGGGGGTAAACTAGGGAGAAGTGTGCGTGGAAGGAACAGTTCTAGTCTTAACAGGAGCATGCACAGACGGAATATCATATAATATAGAGTGAAATTTTGAAAGAATCAGTGAAGGAGAATATAAATCAAAAACATCAGAAAGATTAGAGGAAGCAATAGAGGAACAGAATGATGAGATGTCAACATTATTAAAATTACGGCAGGATATGACAGTCTTAGCAGATTTCTTATGTATAGGCAAACTAAAATTAAAGTCTATGAGTTTATAATCAGAGATACCAGTGTCAGAGGAAGAGATGGAGCAAATACCAACCCCTGATGTACAGATCAAATCAAGGATATGACCATGAGAAGGAGTAGAAAATGAACATGCGGAGACAGATTAAAACAATCAAAAACTGACAGTAATTGAGTGGTGTTAGGGCAAACAACATCAACATGTATATTACAGTCACCAAGCAGGAGAAGACATGGAACAGGCGAGGGTTAACAGTTCACTGAGTTGAGAAAAAAAAGTTTGAAAATGATTTAGAAGGACGATAGAGTAGGTTGATAAGAGAGTCAACCTTCAGTACCATATATTCAAATGTATCGGTGTCGTGGAAATCGAGTTGAGATTCGGAGGTTATCATGGTAGATGACAGCGAGACCACCCCCTTTGCCATGCAGTTTTGGCCTGGACAAATGCTTATATCCATACGGCGTGAGTATGTTTAACTGCAGGAAGTCATCAGGGACTTGCCAAGTTTCCGTGAGAATCAAAAAGTCAAGCATATTGTCAGTAATGAATTCGTTGAGGTAAGGTGCTTTATTCGAGATGGACCGACAGTTCAAAAGAGCAGTGTGACAGTACGAGGCAGATGAATTTGATGACGAGGTTAGTTGACAGTTAAAGATGTTTCACAATATCAACGTTGATATTTTATGAGTATTTATTTTTGGTGTTTTTGTTTTTATTTATACAGAACAGTACAGAGAGCACACAAGTGGGGGAGAGAGAAGGGGATGGCATCAGAAAGGACATAGAGCTGGGACTCTTTCAAGGATCACCCTAAGCACAACCACGCTATATACACACACAAGGCTGTTGGTTCTAACATTTTATCAGAATTAAGAAATATTTCTACTTAAAACATTAAATGCATTTCATTCAAGGCAGGGTTTTTCCTGCATAAAGAATTTCAAGGCGAAATTCTTCGCCTTGAGAGAATTTTAAAACTATCAAATTTAGTGCCGCCCCTGGCTGTCAACAAAAATCAAGACAGGTGGTCACATGCTCCTATACCCCTTTACCACCGACACAGTTTCTGTTACAGGTTCCATTCTCAAACTGCTCAACACATTTTCACTGCACAAATGTACAAATCTCTTGTAATGAGACACATGAGTAAAACAAGTTTTCACAGAAACTATAGTTTTCCACCAAAATAAAAGATCAACTGGTTTCTGTCAAAAAAAGTACAAGGGTTTCTCTTGCAAGTGCAGTGCAAAATATGCATGTTATTGTACAGAAACTTTGAATCTTTAAATATTGTATTTGGATTGTTCTTTTACAGGTTTTTAACAATACATTCAAGCACAAACACTGCAAGATAAAGTTTGAGATTATTTTAATCTGTTTTATACAGCGTTTTGTTTATTGAAGTTTGTTTATTGAAGTTTATAGAGTCGTGGCCTAATGGTTTAGAGAGTTGGACTTCTAACCCAAAGGTTGTGGGTTCGAGTCTCGTACCGGCAGGGATTGTAGGTGGGGGGAGTGAATGTACAGCGCTCTCGCACTGCAAGCTAAAGTTTGAGATTATTTTAATCTGTTTTATAGTGTTTTGTTTATTGAAGTTTGAGTCGTGGCCTAATGGTTAGAGAGTTGGACTTCTAACCCAAAGGTTGAGGGTTCGAGTCTCGGTATTGGCAGGGATTGTAGGTGGGAGGAGTGAATGTACAGCGCTCTCTCACACCTTCAATACCACGACTGAGGTGCCCTTGAGCAAGGCACCGAACCCCCAACTGCTCCCCGGGTGCCGCAGCAAAAAATGGCTGCGCAGAGGGGACTTAACCATTAGGCAAAGGTAGGTGACCGCCTTGGGCCCCCAAAAGCCAAGGCCCCCCTAAAATGCTTTTTATATGCGAGATGCGCGTTCAGAGCGTAGAAAATGGGGACAGAATCCCAGAATCTATTCATAAAAACGGAGTTTACTGTTTAACGCGGAATGTGACGGAATGAACGGCGCAGACGCGCGTTTCATTTGCCATCTAAACACCTGCAACGCTCGCGGTTGTCGTCTGTAGTAGCAAAATAGTATTTTTGCCATTTAATATTCACATACACTAGTCCATATCGCGATTTGATTGAAGTGTACTGAATTGCATTTGATTTATTCATTAAATATTTGACGAATTCTGTGACATTGCTCGTTACACAGGAATAAAAGATAAATTAATGTTTTTGCCTTCATTTGATTACCAGAAAAATGAAAATACACAACAGAATTCCTAAAAAATAAATAAAATTAAAATTTCATAGGGCCCGATTATTGTATAAAAATGTATAAGTTAAGTTGTTTTTATGAATTCAATTAATTAGATATGTTTTTGATTAAACCATTAAAATGGAATACAGAATTAAAATGGAAAGCACAGAATTTGGGCCCTATTTAATATAATCATCCAGAAAAATTAAAACGAAAAAAAAAATAAAAAATAAATTAATCCAGAAAAATTAAAACTGAAAAAAAAAGATTTTGGAAAAAATAAAACTTAGGCTAATTTTGGAAAAATAAAACGGATTTCATAGGGCCCTACAAATATCATGCATCTGAAGCTATAATTTTAATACTAAGTGTGGCATCCTCACAGAGCAGACAGAGGGAAAGGGGTTCAAAAGCCAAAATAAATCATATCCTAAAGCGGCAAAAACACTGCATATATTGATATTCGACTACGCCACCCTGGGAATTTCACCCAGAGAATATGACCAGCGCACAGGTTCCCTACTAAAGACAAGGAGAATGGAGACACAGGTATTTAATACAAAAATACAAAAGTTTATTATGATTCATCAAAATAAAATCTGAGGCACATGAAAAAAAGACAAGCCCCAATCATTCAAATATGTTTAAAAGAACAGAAGCTGCGGCCTCTCTCAAGAAATGCCCGGGCAAAAGATAGACACGTTCCCCTCACACGCACTGCACACTCACGCTCACAGCACCCGGGCCCCAGTGAAGTGATCAGTCACGGCACACGGTGTAAACACCACCACCAAAGAAGAGAAGGGAACAGTCAATTTCCTACGCAATAAGGCCACAGCTCCTAGAAACAAAAACTCTCCACACCATACACACAAAAGAAAAAGAAAATTACTAATTATATAAACAAACAAGTGGATGTCAATTATTCATCCACAGCCGGCCCTTGGTAGAAAAACCCTTACTGGCCCGGTTCAATAAAGGAAACAATAAAAATAACAACACAAACAACCAAATAGTCATTGACCACAAAATCAAAAAAAAAAATAAACAAATATATTTGTTATACACATACAGAAAATCAAAACCATTAACTTCAATTAGGGAATGCGCAAAATAAATCAGAATTTAAAAAAAAAGAAAACAAATAAACAAATATGTATTATTATACTCAATTCACAAATCAACAATCAAATCAAAATTAAATAAATCAGGATTTAAACAAACAATTCCTGACCAAACAGTCAAGATTCATAACCAAACAGTCAAAAACACGAAAAAAAAACAAAATTATGCAAAAAAAGAAATAAAAACAAACCAAAAAAAAAGAATCTTAATAAGAAACAAAAAAACTCAAACCATGTAAAGTAACGAGTATGTGAGTATAATAATTCGAGCAGCAGTCTCAAAACAACCCAGGACAAAACAGCGGTGACATCGCTGCACTGAATGCGATCCTCCTACCGTCACATAGCTGCAGGATCAGGTACACGAAGAGAGAAAGAAACGTCCCTTTAATAGTTCACAGTAGTCATTCATACATCACGAACTGAAAACAATACAAGAGAGTTACCATCTGACCAGTTGCTATATTTTAAATGTCGACCACAATCCATCAAAACCCGTCATACACGCACCTGAAGGGCACAGACGCCCGCACAGCAGCCAGCTGATAACAAACGGGAAGATCCCGAAACCACGTCTGTGACGAAAACTAGGCTACAGCATCAAACCGTTGCCCACTAAAGAGGAGCAACAAACCATTTAGTTACTACATACACGCTGGAGATCGCACTCAGTCTACCATCAACCCACGTACCTCGAAACGGTCGCAGCAACACACCACAACACGCCGCACCAGGCCAAGGCATGCGAACAAA